TTGTCGAGCTATCTTTGGACCACTAGTCCACAATGATGACTCAGAGACTTGTTATTAATTATGAAAGCTTAGCCTCAGCTTAGGCTTTTACCCAACTACCTCTTATAGCTTAATTTACCCATATATTTTTTTAAAGCTTTATTTCTTTATTACATATACAGTGTTCTGTCTGCACTCCAGAAGAGGGCACCAGATCACATTACAGATGGTTGTAAACCACCATGTAGTTGCTGGGAATTGAACTCAGAACCTCTGGAAGAGCAGCCAGGGCTCTTAACCTCTGAGCCATTTCTCCAGCCCAATTAACCCATATTTTTAAATCTATATTCTGCCACGTGGTTACCTCTTCTTAGTACAGCATATCCGACTTGCCCTGAGTCTGCTGGCGAAATTGCATGCCTAGATTCCTCCCCCCAGTTTCTCTCTTTCTACCCGGAAGTCCTGCCTATTCTCTCCTGCCTAGCTATTCTTTATATAGCTACCTTTTACTTCATTAATCCAATCAGAAGATGCCTTAGGCAGGGACACATCTTTACAATGTAAACAAATATTCTGCAACAGGTTAGTTTTTGTCAGCTTGACACAACAAGTAAGAGTCACCTGGGAAGAGGGACCCTCACAGTTGAGGAATTGCCGCCATCAGATTGGCCTGTTGGAATGTCTGTGGGGGGTGCTTTCTTGATTAATGATGATGTGAGAGGCTGCAACCCTCTGTGCATGCTAGCAACACTGATCAGGTGTTCCTGAGTTGTATCTGTAAACCAGATTGTATCTGTAAGCCAGATTGTATCTGTAAGACCGTGGTTCTCCTTGGTCTCTACTTTAGGTTCTCTTCTTCCTGCCTCCAGGTTCCTGCTTGAGTTCCTGTTCTGACTTCATTCAGTGATAGACTGTGACATGGAAGTGTAAGATGAAATAAACCTTTTCCTCCCCAAGTTTGTTTTGATCAGAGTCTTATCATAGGAATAGAAAGCAGACTAGGGTAATTCCCCAAATCATGAACTATATCATTCAAAATTATGATTTTTATTTATTTATTTATTTATTTTTAAATTTTTTTTTTTTGGTTTTTCGAGACAGGGTTTCTCTGTGTAGCTTTGCGCCTTTCCTGGAACTCGCTTTGGAGACCAGGCTGGCCTCGAACTCACAGAGATCCGCCTGGCTCTGCCTCCCGAGTGCTGGGATTAAAGGCGTGCGCCACCACCGCCCGGCTTTATTTATTTATTTTGTGTCAGGGTCTCATGAAGCCCAGCTTTGCCTCTCACTTGTTATATAGCCAAGGCTGATCTTGAGCTACTGACCTTCTTGCCTCCTCCAATTTCCAAGCACTGGGATTAGAGACCTGATCCACCACATTCCTCAGCAAACAGATTAGTTCTCTAAACAATACACATCCAACCCAACTAGAAAAATCCTTGGTGGGCTGGGGTTACACTTCACACGTGACATTTTGTAGTCTCAGAGTTGGGACAGGAGGCATCTGGGTAACAGCAATGACTCAGCAGTTCGTTAGTTGGCAAGGTGACTACTGATTGTTGGACTTCAGACTTTTAAGAAGCCAGATTCAGCAGGAAAAAGAAAGGAGAGCCCACTAGACCTTGCAGAAGATGGTGGAAGTCCTAAGATGAGATGTGGGGTTGCAAAGGTCCTTGTACTCACAGAGAAGCACTAAGAGAACCAGGAATGTTAATTATGCAGGGGTGTCTCCTCAGTGGAGGAGAGAGAAATCAAATTCCATCCAGAAAAGCCAAGCGGATTTTTTTGACCACCTGGTGACCATTTTGCTGTATGTGGAGACAGACCTCGCCCATCTTTTGCTATAGAGGCAGAACCTAACCCAAATTCCCCATAATGGTTACCCCAGACTCTCCCCTCCCTAGAATGTTACCCATCCTTAGGGAAGATGTCACATGTACTTATGGCCTGCTGACCTCTATGCTATCATTCAGAGACCACACTAGATTCTAGGCCTTTTAGCTATAGAACCCACATTCATGATATAGTGACACCTTAAGCTTTATTGTGTACCTAGAATTGGACTGATTGGACTGATTGTTGCCTGGAAACCATTCCCAAAATTATACTCTGTTTAAGTTTGGTGACAGTGAAATACCAGGCATTAGACTCACCGAATGATCCAGGTTGATGAAATTGATCTGCACAGGGTTTTCATTCTTGTCTGTTCTTTTTTTTGTTTTGTTTTGTTTTTCAAGACAGGGTTTCTCTGTGTAGCTTTGCACCTTTCCTGGAACTCACTCTGTAGCCCAGGCTGGCCTCGAACTCACAGAGATCCGCCCGCCTCTGCCTCCCGAGTGCTGGGATTAAAGGCTTGTGCCACCGCCGCCAGGCTTCTTGTCTCTTCTTGAAGCTCACTTCCCTGTTTGACACCTGCAGGGGCCACTCAATGGGAAATATAGTATGTGTCTCTTGATGGTAAATCTGCGGGGCTAAGATGTGCTTGAGGGATTCTAAATTCTGATACAATGAAGTGGAATCTGAATTTACTTTTTGTTTTGTTTTTCTTCCCCTCCCCTTTTTTTTTTTCAGAGCTGAGGACTGAACCCAGGGCTTTGTGCTTGCTAGGCAAGCGCTCTACCACTGAGCTAAATCTACAGCCCCTTGTTTTGTTTTTCAAGATAGGGTTTCTCTGTATGTAGCCTTGGCTGTCCTGGAACTCACTCTGTAGACAAAGCTGGCCTCTAACTCACAGAATCTGCCTGCCTCTGCCTCTCAAGTGCTGGGATTAAAGGCATGTGCCACAACTGCCTGGCAAATTTACTTATTTTTTGAGTTTCACTCTAGTTCAGGGTTTCACTCTAGTTCAGGCAGGCCTGGAATCTTTGTAGCCCAGATTGGCCTTTAACTCAGGTCAATTCTCCTGCCTCAGTCCTTATCCAGAGTGTTGGGATTTTAAGCATATGCCACCATACCTGGCTCCTAATTGCCATTACTATGATAGAGTGACACATCTATATGGACACTGCTCTGGGAAGGATGGCTGTGTTAAATTATTCTAGCCTAGAATAAGGCTGCTTTATATCAAAGTGGGTTGAGCTCAGAGTAAGGCCTCTGCTGATTCTGACAGGACCAGAAGGAGTTAACCTCAACAAGCCCTGACTGCAACTGCAATCGATCCTGATACCTCTGTAGAGAATATTAATCTTTAATTAACAGACTCAGGCTATCAGAAGTTACACACACACACACACACACACACACACACACACACACACCCAATGCTTGCCTTGCACAGTCCCTAAAACAGATAACCAACTCTGTAAAACTTACTCCTTGGCAAAATAATGAGGTTCAAAATAATGTTCACCTAATAATTCACATATGAGTGCACAGGGGTATCCCACCTGTTAGATCTGAATAACAGAGATTCCTTGACATTGAAACATCATCTGACAGCCCTCACAGAAATGCCTTCATGAAAGTTAGTCCTTGAAATGCTTCTGCTGAAAAGTTTGTACTCTCTTGTCCACTGGGGATGTACCACAGTGTACTTAATACATTTTCTGCTTTGTTTTCTATCTTGGTGAATTCATTCTCAGCTGGCATGTCACTGGCCTATTAACACCATCCCTGGAGTGGCAATTTGGTTTATGAAGATATTACTACTTCAGAAAGTAGGTGGGAAGTAATGGGCAGGAGGGACGGACTGATTCCTAAAGGGAGGAGAGATGAAGTGTAGAGGAGACAGGTGGGGGGAAAGACAAGAGCTATACCCAAACAACCCTGGATCTTGCCCACTTCTGCCAAGGAAAAGAAAACTTAAATGCAAAATTCAATTCAAGTTGACAGGACTATTTCAAATTTGTAATTTTGTTGTTATTTTTTTTGAGACAGGGTTTCTCTGTGTAGCCCTGGCTGTCCTGGAACTTGCTCTGTAGACCAGGCTGGCCTTCAACTCAGAGATTCACCTGCCTCTGCCTCCTGAGTGCTGGGACTAAAGGCATGTACCATCACCGCCAGGTTAGCTATATAATTTAGGACAGATTATAAATTGTTTTAATCTCTTTCAGTCTAATTTGTAAAATGTATCACGAATATCTCCCTTTGCAAGTATCTGATATGCTGATGACATTTGTACCTTATCCAGATTGTGGTTGCATTGAAAAAAAAAAACTCATGGATTTGTACATTTCTAAACCTATGCTATATCACACTATTAAAAAATTTATAAGAAATAAAATAAGGACTGGAGATTGAGTGCTTAAGAGCTTAGTGGTTAAGACCACTGGCTGCTCTTCCAGAGGACCTGGATTTGATTCCCAAGTCATATGACAGCTAACAACCATCTATAACTCTAGTTCCAGGGGATCTGATACACTCTTCTGTTTTCTCTGGGCACCAGCCATACCTATGGTACATAGACACACATGCAGGCAAACACCTTTGCACATAAAATAATAAAAATTTTGGAAAAAAAAACAAGAAAATAACCAAGGGTTGGTGGCCCATGCCTGTAGTCTCAAATCAGGGAGGTTAAAGCAGGTTTGTTTAAACACAGGTATTGCAGGCTAGCCTGGGCAACATAGTTAGCCAGCTCCCCTCTCTCTGCAAGACTAATGTAGTCAATGCTAACCTTAAACTTACGAAACTCTCTTCCCAGCATTTTCAGATATATGCCACTATACCTTTTTTGAGACAGAATTATAGAGTTTCCCTTTGTAGTCTGGAACTCACTACTTAGCCCAAGCTGCCTTTAAACTTGATATTGAACTTCTTGTCTTAACTTCCTAAATGATGGGATTAAGGTATGTGTGTGTGTATGTGAAGGGTATTAAATCAGGCATACTGTCTCACCCCTGTAATCCTAAGACTATCCTTTCAGGAGGTAGAGGCAGGAAGATCAGGAGTTTAAGGCCAGTCTCAGATATGTGAGGGGAGTATCAGGCCCATCTGGGGTCTGGATTACATGAAATTGCCTCAAAAAGGGCAGTGGGAGAGTTGGAGAGATTTCTTAGCAATTAAGACACTTGCTTCTCTTGCAGAGGACCAGGGTTCAGTTCCCAGCACCCAAATGACAGCTCACAACCCTCATTAACCCAGTTCCAGGGGATGTGACACTCTTCTTGGTGAGGGCCAGATTGACCGAGGCTTTTCCTGAGACCCTGATGTATGGAGAAGGAACATAGCTCTTCTGAAAACCAGGAACATGCTTGGCAAGGCAAGTAATGGCCTGAAGCCAGGGCCTTGGGGGAGCTGAAGCTTCAGATCCTGAGAACCCAACTCTTCCCACCCCACCGTGTGGGGCTATGGTTATCAGTCTGAGGGGTTCCGTGAGCTTGGTCTGTAATGTTCTTGAGATACCCTATGTTCCCCTTACACAACACTGTTCCATTAGCTTCCCTCTGACTTACTGCCATTGTGTGATAATTTCTGCTGACTCTGTCCCACTTCTCCCCTGGAATTAGTATATAATATGCTGTACTTCCTAATAGGCTTGCTTGGCATAGCTTGTGCAAGACCTCCCATCTCAAATTCATCTTTCTCCTTATCTTCTCATCTCTTGGTCCTCTCTCTCAGGACCTGTCCCTGAAGAATGACCTGTTGGTCTAGGTCACTTCTGACCTCCTCAGGCTCCTGCATGGATGTGGTACACAGACATATACTAAGGCACACACACATACACATAAAATTAATTTTTTGAGACAGTTTTCTCTGTATAATCCTGGCCATCCTTTAACTCACTCTGTAGACCAGCCTGGCCTCAAACTCAGAGATCTGCCTTCAGCCTCCTGAGTGCTGGGATTAAGGGCTTTGCACCACCACTCTCTGGTAACAAAATAATTTATTATTATTATTATTATTATTATTTATTTTGTTTTTTTTGAAACAGGGTTTCTCTGTATAGCCCTGGCTGTCCTGGAACTTGCTTTTTAGTCCAGGTTGGCCTCGAACTCTCAGAGATCTGCCTGCCTCTCTCTCCCAAGCACTGCAAGTGCTGGGATTAAAGGCGTGCGCCACCACCGCCCGGCAGTGCATTGGTGTTTTGCCTGCATCTATATCTGTGTGAGGGTGTCAGATCTTTGAGTTACAGACAGTTGAGAATTGTGGTGCTAGGAATTGAACCCAGGTCCACTGGAAGAGCAGGCAGTGCTCTTAACCACTGAGCCATCTCTCCAGCCCCAATAACATAATTTTTTTTTTTTTTTTTTGGTTTTTCGAGACAGGGTTTCTCTGTGTAGCTTTGCGCCTTTCCTGGAACTCGCTTTGGAGACCAGGCTGGCCTCGAACTCACAGAGATCCGCCTGGCTCTGCCTCCCGAGTGCTGGGATTAAAGGCGTGCGCCACCACCGCCCGGCAACATAATTATTTTTAAACAGAAAAGAAAAAGATCTGGTGCATGTCTTTAATCTCAGCATTTAGGAGGCAGAGCTAGGCAGAGCTCCACGATTTGGAGGCCAGGCTGGTCTACATCGTGAGTTCCATGGCAGCCAGAGCCACATAGTGAGACCCTGTCTCAAAAACAACAAAGCCCCAAACAGATATAAACCAACCTCTAAGCAAACAAAATGCCTAGAGTTGTATATCATGATGATTCAATTAAATTCTATTTATGAATTTTTTTTATCTATATGTGTGTCACCTGTATGTAGGTGCTCATAGAGGCCAGAAAAAGGTGTTAAATTCCCTAGAGCTGGAGTTACAAATAGTTCTAAGCCTCCTGACATGAGAGCTGGGAACTGAACTTGAGTTTTCTGAAAAAGTGTTCTTCACCCTCCTTGTACCCCTCGGCCATCTCGACAGCTCCAAATTTTTCCTTTTAGATAGGGGATCATGAATCTCAGGCTGCCCTCAAACTCACTGTGTAGGAGGCAAGAAACTTTGAATCTTATGATTCTGTTCACCTCCATTTCCCCACTGTAGGAGAGGATGGCTTCTTTGCATTCTAAGATTATATTTTTATTTTTTTTATTTATTTTTAAACAGGTCTTATGTATCCCAGGCTGGCCTCAAATTCATTCCGTAGGTAGGAGAAGATGGCCTTGAACTCCTACTCTTCCTGCCCTCACATCCTCGGTGCTCAGATGAAAGTACAGCCACCATGTAGGGCTGAGGTTTGAGCCCAGGGCATAATAGGCAAGAGCTCTATCAACTGAACTACATCCTCTGCAACTTGGAACTTCTGATCCTCCTTGCCTCCACCTCCCGAGTGCTGGCATCACAACGACCCCTCTTTTTTTTTTTTTTGAGACAGGATTTCTCTGTACAGTTTTGGTGCCTGTCCTGGATCTCGCTCTGTAGACCAGGCTGCCAGGAACTCACAGAGATCCGCCTGGCTCTGCCTCCCAAGTGCAGGCATTAAAGGCGTGTGCCACCACCGCCCGGCTTCAAAACCGGTTTTATGCAGTGCTGGGATTTTGAACCCAGAAATTTTTTTTTTTTTTTTTTTTTGGTTTTTCGAGACAGGGTTTCTCTGTGTAGCTTTGCGCCTCTCCTGGAACTCACTTGGTAGCCCAGGCTGGCCTCGAACTCACAGAGATCCGCCTGGCTCTGCCTCCCGAGTGCTGGGATTAAAGGCGTGCGCCACCACCGCCCGGCTAAACCCAGAACTTTTTGTTAAGCAAGCACTGTAGTAATTTAGCTACATCCCCAGTCCATATTTATGAAGTCTTTAGCACAGTGCCAGGGCAAAGTATTCACTGAGAGATCCGTAACTTTCTAGAAGGGGGTCTGCAGAGCCCAGATTTTCACTGTTCCGGTTCTGAGAACCAGCCCATCACTTTAGAGAAAGGATAGGCGGCCAGAAGGACCCACCAGGTATCATAGAGGCCCTCGTTCTCCAGGAAGTACAGGAATCGATGCCTAGAGAGGTGCTTGCGCGGTGCACTGTGGGACGGTTGGAGGTGCGGCCAGCCGCGCATGACTGTCCACGTAGCCTGTGCGCACGCGCAGTTTGAGGACCCCCGACCCTTCTAGAAGCTCGCTGTGGAGTTTGAGGTTCCCAGGGGAGGGATGTGCAAAGTCCCTGGTCTGGCTTCTACCGGCGGTACGACTTCACAGGACAGCGGGGGACTAGTAGGTCCCGCGCGTGATTCTGGAAGCCGGGCCCTTGCTCCTCCCTGGGGTGGGGTTTCGTCTTCACCGCCGGACTTAAGCCCGGGCCTGTCGGCCCAGTACTGGAGTGCAGAGCTCAATTCTGGCCACATTGTCTTCTCCGCAGCCTGCGCTCACTGCCAAGGTGAGTTCTTCCTACTACTGGCCCCTTTTTTTTTTTTAAATTTAAAAAAAAAATTTTTTTTCTGAGGAAGAAGCCGGGTTCGGCCCCGAGATTGAGCAGGGAGCGTCGTCATTTAGACGGATGTGGTTAGCCATTTTTTTTTCCCCCTGAGGAAGAAGCCGGGTTCGGCCCCGAGATTGAGCAGGGAGCGTCGTCATTTAGACGGATGTGGTTAGCCATTTTTTTTTCCCCCTGAGGAAGAAGCCGGGGTCGGCCCCGAGATTGAGCAGGGAGCGTCGTCATTTAGACGGATGTGATTTAGTTTCCGATTTGAGTTCTTCCTCTTATTCTGTTTGTTCCCAGATAACGTCTGTGTGTGTCTCTCGACCTCTGTTTCCTTAGAGTTGGAATGAGCAGGACATCGGTGCTATAGCGAGAACTGGGATAAACCTTTGAATTTGCCTGGTATATATCAAGTGCTTTGTAAATTTTAGTTGCCCATCTCTTGTTTTCTCATCTGCACGACACTTCTAGGGTCTCTGCCTTTCCTAATGGGGGCTTCTGGGATGTTTCTAGGAAGTGGCGGAAGTGGGAGCGAGAAATTAGCTTGATCAAGCCGTTGCCTTGGGTTGAGAAAACTCGGACATGTTATATAGATATCCTGTTGCCACCGAGCTCTTTTAAAGTGAAAATACCCGAACCTTCACTTCATCGAGCCTACTGTTAATGGACTCTGCCATTTAGACTTCATAGTCAGCACTGTAGGACTTCCCTAGGTTCTGATCAGGCCTGTTACTTTTCCAAGGTTCCATTTTTTAATCTGTAATACAGGTTTGATTTTAGTATGATCCTTTCTGGCCCGGTGGGATTGATTATTATTTATATGTATTTTTCAGACAGAGTCTCTTAAGAATGTTTTCTAAAGATTGATTTATTGTATGCCTATCAATGTTTTGTCTTCATGTGTGCATGTGCACCATGTGGGTGCGTGGTGCCCATGGAGGTCAGAAGGCAATGGATCCGCTGGAACTAGAGTTATGGGTGATTGTCAGCCGGTATGTGGGTTCTGGGAATCAAACCCAGGTGCTCTGTGGGAGAAACAAGATTTAAACAACTGAGCCATCTCTCCAACTGCAGAGACAGGGTCCCTTGTATCTTAGTCTTGCCTTGAACTTGTGATATGTAGCCAAGGTTGACGTTGAATCCTCTGATCTTCCTGCCTCCACCTTCTGAGTGCTGGAATTGTAGGAGTTTGTCACTGTCTGGGTTTTATGAAGTGCTGGGGGAGTCAAACCCTGGGAAGGGCACTTTACCAGCTGAACTACACCTCCAGCCCAGAATTTTAATCCCAGCACTGGAGAGGCAGAGGCAGGCGGATCTCTGTGAGTTCGAGGCCAGCCTGGTCTACAGAGCAAGTTCCAGGACAGGCACCAAAGCTACACAGAGAAACCCTGTCTTGAAAAAAATAAATAAATAAAAGAAGAAGAAGAAGAAAAAAAGTTTCAGGAAGGAACCAGAAATTCCAAGTGCTAACTCAATGGTAAGTAACAATTAGCTAGGCAGGTGTGAAGTTTGGGGAAAGAAAATGTGCAGAGACCTGGAGTCAAGTGCTGCTTGTTCATAGAGTCTGGGGAAATGAGGAATGTGGCAGCTAGTTTTAAAGGAGTTTGGACTTTAATCTTGGGAGAATTGCTGAATGCTATGAGCCAAGGAGTCACATGACTGGACTTGGTGAATGGATTTTGAACAAGTCCAAATTAAAAGTAATGGCTGGTTTAGGCAAGGGATGGTAGTGGTTATAGACAAGGCAAGGACAGTGGAGGCTAGTGTAAATACATGGGAAAGATTTATATTCAGTCTCAGGAAATGTGTGTATTTATTTTATATTTCCTTTTGGTGTTTCTGAGACAGGGTCTTAGTATGTAGTGCGGTGTCACCATGAACTTGTGGGGTCTTGCCTTACTTAGCCTAGGGTGTGCGCCATCGCACCTGACTCAGGAGAGTTGAAGATTTGGGCTTGTATATTTATTATTATTAATTTATTTTGTTTGTTTTGTGTCAGTCCATGCCTCTGCCTCCCACTGTCCAGCTTCTAACAGGATTTCTTTGTTTGTTTTTCAAGACAGGGTTTCTCTGTGTATCCCTGGCTCTCCTGGAACACACTCTGTAGACCAAGCTGGCCTTAAACTACCTCCTC